GGTGGTGATTTACAGAATGAGGTTGTCACTTCCTCCAAAGAAGAAATGCAAAGACGCTTCAAGGATGATTCAAGGTGTTAACAGCTCAACATATCATTTGCATTTGGGTCCAGTCAAGTGGTAACGGAGGGAAACAGGGGCAGATTTTTTTACATTCAAATGTCTCTTATTCAGAAACTAGAGGGACTATTGAAATAAGTAAAGTATCAGAATGTAGGAAAGAGTTACACTCCAACAGGGTCAAGTTAAACCTGTGATATTCTTTCAAGTTGTTGACAAAAAATTTAAAAACTCATGTCGGTAACAGAGGGAATGAAATATGCAGCACTTTTTGGGCAATAAATACAAACAGTGATAACTCTTGGTTCTCACTTACATATCCTTAACAAACTGGTTTGAATATTTGTGTTAAGGTTTGGCAAGAGGGACCCCAAAGCAGAGCCGGGACTCAATCAAGTTTTAACAGTTTATTTTACAAACGGAAGGCAGGCTGAGGAGGCAGGGAGCTGGCTGGCTTCTCCAGAGGCAACAGCAGACAACCACGGAGACACCTGGGTGAAAACAGGAGCAGGTAAGTCCAAGACAAACAGCAAACAAAACGGGTACATATCCAAGAGCCTGACAGATGCTACCAAACAGGACAGAATTATCTGGCAAAGTGGTGGTGAGAAGACCAGGGCTAAATACAGAGGCTGTTGAAGGAATTGATTGCAGGTGTGTCTCATCTGCTCTGGAAGAAGCCACGCCCCCTGCCACACTCAAGCTCTGCAACGAAAAGGGAGGGGGAGAGAACAAAAAAACAAATCCTAACAATGTGCTTCATATAGTTTTCTACCATATGGTACAAGATTAGGCTGAAAAACCTCTTACTTTTTGACTCATGAGATTTTTTATTAAGAAAGGTCATGGTAACGGAGGGAAAATTGTGCAAGCAAGTAGAAGGTGCATGATTTTGCATAATTTGTCATCTTTTTTCTTCCGAATACTTTAATATTACCCAAAATGAAAAGTAAAATTCTTTTCTATAAAATCTGCCAGTTCTTCCAAGCAAATTTTTTATCATTTTAAATACTCTTTTTTTTTTTTTTTTTAAATCCTGTACCTTCATCAACAGCTCAAAGTTCGAATAACACTAGAAATGATGAAATACATACATTTATTTACATGATTTTCAGGTCTTTGAAATTTGGGAAATAATTTTTGTTCCATGTTTCATACATGGTCTGTTTAAAACATATGGAACTTTAGAACCAAAAATGGTACAGAAAAAAGGTCAACAGTTTCATAAACTAGAGTACATATGTATCTGTTCAATACAGTTTTATATCAGATGCATTAACTTGAATTTTTGGCCTTGCTGTTTACTTCTTCTTGACCGGGCCCATATTCACACTGCTGTTTTATATTTCTGGGTTGAGGGAAACACAGGCGTTCAGACCACCTGATGTACTGTAAGTCCTGTGTCGCTGTAGGCTGTCAGGGGCAGTGATTTGACCCAGAGCTCTGTATTAGAATTGTATTGAATAGGGAATACATTTTTTTGTGCTTTAAATTGATTGAGTCTAGTCATTTTTGATAGAACATCCAGGGATCTGGGTTCGATCCCCAGGTCGCCCGGGCCTTTCTGTGTGGAGTCTGTCTGGATGGGTTTCCTCCGGGCGCTCCAGTTTCCCCTATCAACCCAAAACATGCTCCAGGAGTCCAGAACAGTTGATAGTCAAGGTCAGTTAAATACAGTCAATTCAATCACTGTGTCCTTAGGCAAGACACTTCACCCACATTGCCTCATATGAAAGTGGTGTGTGTGAGTGATGGTGGTGGTCGGAGGGACCGATGGCGCCGATTGGCATGGCAGCCACGCTTCTGTGAGTGTGCCCCAGGACAGCTGTGGCTACAATAGTATCTTACCATCACCAGGGTCTGGAGTGAATGAATAATGCTGAAAATGCTGTGTAAAGTGTCTTTGGGGACAGAAAATGTCTGTGAAAAATGCTATATAAATAAAGACTTACTTACTTCTGCCTAACAGAAGCGTGTGTCGAGTAATCCAGGAAGTCTTTGGTGAAGCGCGTATCGAGGCTCGTATCGGTGACGTATGTGGTGTCGTTCAAAGCCTCGTGAACCGCCCGTACCACGTGACTGGGTCAGGAAGTAGTTTGTGGATTTGGTGCGTGATTCGAAACATAAGGGCCAAAGAAATGCAGTGGATTTCCCCTCACAATTTGTGGTTTTGAGTTATTGCAAGTTTGGTACATTCTATTTGAGATTTTTTTTTTTTTTTTTTTTTTTGTGATGGAGCAGCAAGTGGCTTTACTGTGGAGAAATTGATATTTTTAAATAAAAATGAATAAAATGACCCTATTTTGCCGTCCTTATTGTGGCATAAGCACAGACATAAAGTAGTAACACAAGCACATTACATCCTGATCTCCAATTTGTTCCTACTTTTCCTTTTAACCCGACCGTTATATGATGAACACAGACTCTATGTTAACACAGTCACACTTTATGTTGATATCACAAACATTCAAACACTGAATCATTAATTTGTTCAGTATAAATCTTTCCATTCCATTTCCACTTGATGGTGCAGTGGAGCAAATGAAGCACCTCGAAACATCGTCTCAAGAGTCAAAAAAATGGATGGAACGCTTCAGTGCTTCATGGGGCTTCATCTCGCCATCACTAGAAATAAGTAAATAAAATAAGTGCATTTCATTTAAGTAATTGTGGTTGAAATGAATTGTACTTACCTTCTTGTGTTGTCTGCCTCAGGTTAAAGAGTCTTAAGAAGGTTCCGGGGCAGGCAACCATTTTATTAGGAGGAGGGGACCACAGATATTTTAACTTTTCTACTTAGTATTTTAAAATTAACAATAAAACACTGCTATTTTAATAAAGATATATTTTGTACTTAGATTTAATTGAATATTTGGAGTTTTGTTTGGTTTTTGATATGATTAATTTTTTAAAGATTGAATGGAAATGATCTGAACTTACCTGCATTTCAAAATGAGCTCAGCCAATTAAAGGAGGTGGGCTATAAAAGGAACCAGCCTCACCTTTGTCTAAAGAAAGGTGCTGTGTGTGAGCACAGGTATTGCCATGCCTATTTTTAACTTTTGTAATTTTTGTAAATATTTTTTCAATTTTCTTCTTGATTGTGGAAATAAATGCACTTTGGGCACTGCACTAAAATCGGCTCAACTCAACTCTGTTCCTCTTCGACTGCTAAGGCTGCTATCCGGGCTTTTACAGACCCAAAGGCCAAAAGTCAGAGATGAATGAAGTTGAAGAGTCAGAATTTATAGAGTCAAAGTGTTATGAACAGTGTTGGGAAGGTGACTTTTAAAATGTATCCCCCTACAGATTACAGATTACATAGCCCAAAATGTAGTTTGTAAAGTAATCTGAATACTTTGGATTACTTGATATTGTCATGCTTTTTAAAATGACATGAATGTAACGACCACATCCTGAAAATTCATGTTTGTTCTTCAAATTGTCTGTTGAGCCCAAGTCTCCATGAATAAACAACTGTTTACTGTAGAGAAGCAAAGACCAGGAAATCTTAACATGATAATGTTTTATCTGCTTAAAGACAATAAAAAACCCAGTCTTTCCTTAACCACATAAAAAATATTACTGATAGAGAAATGGAGAAATGATTTATTTATACGAGGTCACTGCTGCTTTAAATTATGTCCACCCTACTGTTAAGTGTCATATTGTTAGTGTTGGGGAGTAACAGATTACATGTACCAGAGTTACGTAATCAGAGTACAAATGATGAGTAACTGTATTCAGTTACAGTTACTGTTTCAGTGAGTGGTAATTGGATTACAGTTACTTTGTTGAAATAAATGGATTACACGGTGGTATTTTCCTGTTTTTACATTTTGGGCTATATACCTTTTTTTTTTTTTTTTTTTTTACGTAATTCCACTCATTGTCAGACACTAAACCAGGTCTAAACCAGGTCTAAACCAGGTCTAAACCAGGACTAAACCAGGTCTAAACCAGGACTAAAACCAGGTCTAAAACAAGATTTAACAGGACTAAATCATGCTGCGGGGACATGTCTCCTCCTCTTCTATCAATAATATTTTTAATATGGTTAAGTAAAGTCTGGGCTTTTTATTTTCTTTTATCAGACAAAACATCTTATGTTACCATATCCTAGTCTTTGCTTCTCTACAGCAAATCAAGTAATCCAAAGTATTCAGATTACGTTACTCACTTTAAGTAATTTAATGGATTATGTTACAAACCACATTTTGGGGTATGTAATCTGTAATCTGCAGGGGAATACATTTTAAAAGTCACCTTCCCAACACTGCATATTGTTTATTAAAAACAAAAACAAAAATCACTTTCAGTACAAACATAAAGGCGCCAGCTCAGTAAAAATCAGTAATATTTGATGTTTTTTACTCAAAATGATGCAGAATCAGATTATTAACAACGACGATTATTAACAACCTCGTCCATTGTGTGACTGATGCTGCCAACGTGAACATGACGTTTACGTAGCTCTTATTGTTCGTGTTCTGTCTCGGTTTCCGGCAATGAGTGGAATTACTGCCATGTAATCCATTTATTTCAACAAAGTAACTGTAATCCAATTACCACAGTAAGTGAATACAGTTACTCATAATCTGTAATCATGTAATCTGTTACTCCCCAACACTGGTTATGAAGTGTTACTATTGATTACGGTGAAAGATTTGAACATGTTTTAGGTTAAATGTGATTATGTAGAAGTTTAAGTAAGAGACACTTTCTCTCCATTTAATCATTATGTATATATTCTGCATAAGTGCGGAGTAGAGTATCCATTAGTGCTTTACAGTTGAAGTCAATGAAAGTTCTATTTTAATCAATAGTTCAAAAATGATGATGTAAAGACACAGCCAACGGATCTGCTAAAACTGTTCTCTACTGCTAAATCTGTTGTCAGCAAATTTTTTATAAATGTATCAGAACCTCCACATTCAGGATAATCATGTCTTTGTCTTTTTATTGCAATCACAGAACATTCCACATAATCTACATGCAGTGGTGACATAAACATAAAACACACTTGACTTTTATTACATGAAGCAGATTTTAGGAAAGAACTGAATAGAGGCTTTGCACCGTCACGTGGCCCCTATAGCAACGGTAACTACGCCGCCATGACACCGGGCACACTATGTCATTGACTTCAGCAGCATCGGAGAAACATGGACAGGGTTTGTTGTGTATTTGGTTGTTCTAGATGCTCTGAAATGGATAAAATGATTCGTTTCTTCACTGTTCCTCTGGAAATGACTCATCAGGATCAAACAAGGGAATTATCGAAAAAAAAGACACGGATTATGGCTAGCAAAAATAAACCGCGAAGAGATTTCCACAAAAATTTCATTAATTTATCCAGGAAAACCCGCACTAGTTTACGATTTAACGAACCCACACTGGGCTCCTGTGATCAACATGACGCACGAGTCGAAGAGTCTGTGAGCCGAACCTCGAAAGAATCGGTCATAAAAAGATCCTCGCGAACATTAGAAAGATCCGCTCGCAAAAAGTGATTAATTCTAGAAGACATAGTTGTGGTTAAGCAAGACAATAAAGAAAACATGGGTCCTACGATGAGTGACATGTTTATATGTGCGCTGGAAGATCCAGTTTCTACTGCCACTCACACTGCAAATGTTTTCTTTTTACATTTTAGTTCAGTAAATGTGCTTCTCTCATTAAATAAGCTATGAAACTATTTAAATAGCAAATACCTTGATGAAACTTCGAGTGTCTTGATGGGACCATTGGAAATCTCTTCGTGGTTTATGTTCTCTAGCCATAATTCCCATTTTTTTCCCGATAATTCCCTTGTTTGATCCTGATGAGCCATTTCCAGAGGAACAGTGAAGAAACTAATCGTTTTATCCCTTTCAGAGCGTCTAGAACAGGGATGGGCAAACTACGGCCCTTTAAACCTTTTAATCCGGCCCGCCGAACTTGAATAAATAATAATAATAAACCTTGTTAATGTTTTATTTTTCCTGCATTTCCGGCGTTTCCCAGTAGACGGCGCACTATATATACATTGAGGTGCGGCGGCTTCTGTTGGCCGCAATGCTTTATGGGAAAGTATTCACAGGAGTCATTTTCAGGCGGCGTATTCGGACCATGAATGAGGTAGAAGTGTTAAAGACATAAGACTGCACTAAGTCTACAATTTATGTGTACAAATTAAATCTTGGCGCTGCTCTATATCATATTTGGTAACATGTTTTACAAAGTAAGTGCACTGCAACTACTCTGTGTGACGGTGGTCTATGCACCACGTATCACTTCCACTAATGTGGCGCGGTCAGAGGTGTAAACACCTGTTATATTTGCTAAGAAAAGGGCGGTATGAGCCATTGTCAAGCCCAACATATTCCAAAATGGCCGCCCATTCAAATTAATGTGCTGAGGTCAATGGCGCATGATCCCAGATTAGTCTAGCATGGTACTTCCGGCGGCTGTGGGCCGACCGAGCATGCGCACTAGTGCTCTTTTCTCCCGCGGGTACACGCACGGTGCGCGGGCTCGTGTGTCATGTGATCGCTTTGACCAATCAGAGCGAGAGGAGCTAAAGCGGAGCAGAGCGTAGCCGAAGCTAACGAATTTAAACTGTTTTTTTTAAGACAACTGAAGGATTTTGAGCTGAGAAAGTTTATGATCTAAAAATAGGTAAAAATCGCCAACAAATCCGATATTTTTGAAAGCTGTAAATGACCTGTCAGACGAACACGAGCAGTTTGTGATTACATTGCCTCTATGAGAAAAAGTCTTGTCTCGGCCCATGGGATTTTTTCTGCTGAAGTTCCAGTGAGTGACACTACGTCAACTGGAGGCAGTTACAAGCAGCAATACTGTATCCAGTTATTTAGTGCCCGGTGACCTTATGCAGCCATTCAAACTGACCCACAGAACTTGACCAAATTATAATAAATAAACCGTACTGCTGTTTTATCTTTCTTGCATTTCCGGCGTTTCCCGGTAGATGGCGCACTATATATACATTGAGGTGCGGCGGCTTCTGTTGGCCGCAATGCTTTATGGGAAAGAATTGACAGGAGTCATTTCGGGCGGTGTATTCGGAACCATGAATGAGGTAAAAGTGTTCAAGACATAACACTGCACTGTTTCCGCTTTAAATCTTTTAAAAACAAAGTTATAAAATTCATACTCACTGTATTAGAAAGTCTTGAAGGTGTGTTTAAACTGCGCGTTAGAATGGTTAATGACATAGACATAGTGTCCTGAGCACTTAGACTCTGAGTGCTCGGGACACATGTTTGTCTTTGGTGTGCAGTGGGGCAGACCTCATTTCACTTTTCATGAATTCTGGAACTTACATGTCTAAAACTTGCAGTGCGTTGTGCAGAATACGTCCTACATGAGAGTAAATACGAGTGCAATGGAGCCGGGTTCTGAACACGTCATGTCCCGTCTTCTGTCCGGCCCTTCAGTCAAATTTTAGAACCCTATGTGGCCCCCATGCCAAAAAGTTTGCCCACCCCTGGTCTAGAACAACCAAATACACAACAAAACCTGCCCATGTTTCTCCGATGCTGCTGAAGTCAATGACATAGTGTTGCCCGGTGTCATGGCGGCGTAGGTACTGTTGCTATACGGGTCACGTGAACGGTGCAAAGCCTCTATAGAAAGTAAAATCCCCCAACAGAAAATCAAAATAAAATCCAACATCATTACCTAACAATGAAAGTGCATCATTTACATTACAGGTGGTGGATTTTAAATTTGAGATGAACACAAAATAACCTAAAAAAAATACTTGATTGCTGAATAAAACTATTGGATTATGATTAAAATGTATTCACATATTTCCAACACCTTTCCAAATGTCCAAATGTCTCAGAGTAACATACTGCTTTTTCTCTGCATTTAAAGGTCTGCATTATTCTTTTTGCATGTAGAAATTTCTACTAAAACTTGAATTTTCAGAGTTAAAAGGTTCTTACCACATCTCAAACTAATTTACATTTTAATTTTTATACAAGGAGTCAAAACTTCACACTTTACACAAAACACTTGAGAAATATATATATATAAATATATAAGTGATTGGTACATTATAAATCAAAGAATTGTAGTTACATAAATGGTTAACTCATAGGCATAGAATATCACACAAGTATTTAGCAAATATGGGATAATAAAATTATTCTGACATAGAGTTTTGTATAATTTCATATGGAGAATGGAACCTCATTAGTATTATTAATTACATGGGTGGGGGTGGGCTATATTAATCTGTTTCATTGATTAAATAAGTAAAAAATGCACAAAATATGATGTTTATGAAATCTCTTTGCCACTCAGATGTGGAAAGTGCAGTGCCATAACTGCAGTTCATCCTTTTAAAATGTTTGATCAATGATGTAAGCAGCTCTGGAGGAGCATCTTCTTATAATCTTATTTAACTGCCTATTCTCTATGCTCTGCTTGTACCGGTTCCTCAACCTCTTCAGGGAACCACTTCATCCATTTTTCCTTCCATTCATCAAACGAAAACGTTCGGAGTTCTTTGAGCAGCTGAGGGCTTATTTTATAGGTGTGGTTTGGGTCATACTCAGTATTTTGGGGCCTGCTCTCGTCCCATTTATAATGTTGGGTGAAATACACTTGGTGGATCTGACAGCTTGTTTCGTTTACACAAAGGATAATGCGAGCTCTGTTCATAATGGGGTCTGTGTCATTACTCGTATGATTACCCATAGTGCAGTAAGTGCAACCTTCAGGGACGGGGTCCAGCAAATTTTCTTCGTTATTGTAAGGATGGGAACCAAAATGTTGTTCTGGGTAATAAGTTTCATCCGGATTGACATTGTCATCATTGTCGATATTAACTGAGTACGCAAGTGCTTGGAGCAGACCGAAGCCATGTTTAGGAAAAGGATTTTCTCTATAATCATAATTGTTTTTCAGATCATCGATGGAGTTGAGCTCTGGAAACTCCCTCGCACCAGAAAGACAGCTCAGTGTTGTGACACGGATGTTGATCTCTCTGCTTGCCTTCATTGTTCTGTTCACAAATCAAAACAGAAAAAAAGTCATTTAAAAAGTACCAGCCTCCAGTGAAAAGCTCCAACTGAACACTCCTAATGAGTGCTCTCTATTCTGTAAGAACTGAAGCTTTAACTGTTCTCAGCACATGACAAAACTATAGAGCTCCTGCAGTTGTTGTCAAGCAATCCCAGAATGCACCTCCAAACCCCACACTGGCAGTGTTAGTGAGTGAGAATTCTCATACAAACTAACAGCATGGGCCATAATGAACAAAGTTTATCAGTGTTTCAGAGATTGTGGATTATCGTTGCATCGGGATGAACACACTATCAAAGACAGGAGAAAGCCTGAGTCTTTTACTGGATTTACAAAGCTCCAGATTGACAGAAAAAGTACATTTCTGCAGCTAGGGTCAATTGAACTGGACATTAATAAAGCTATAAATGTATTTTTACATCAGTATTATTTTCTTTATCTGGTTTAATTTGAATGACTAAATGGATAATATAATAATTATGCAACAGACGCTTTACAGAGCATTAATCATTCCCTCCACACCCAGGTGATGAGCTACTATTGTAGCCACAGCTGCCCTGGAAGCGAGGCTGCCAATCTGCGCCATCGGCCCCTCCAACCACCACCAACACTCACGCACACACCACTTTCTTACTAGGCAATGTGGGTGAAGTGTCTTGCCTAAGGACACAATAACTGTCACCCCAGTGTGGCTCCTGATTTTCCCAGTGTCTCCATCCAAGTACTAACCAGGCCCAACCTCTGAGCTTCTGAGATCTGACAGGATCAGTAAGTTTGTGTATTGTCGATTAGCCTTAAAATAGTCTCTTAATGAGACAGAGAGGAAACTGAGGAGAAACGATACCAAATGCTTTTTGCTTAACACTTTGTTAATATATTAAACATGAATTAATTAGACATGTGGAATATAGAAAATAAAATCACAAACTAAAATTAAATCAATAGTTTTTGTGTATTTATTACATTTTTTATTATTTATTACATATTTATTATTATTTTTGCTGTTTTATCAATTTCACATCAAATTGTCATTAGACCATTTTTGATGATATAAGATGAAAAGTAAACCAGATGTCCAGAGATCACAGAGTTAAGGCAAAATCTACAAGTTCTATTTAAAATCTCAATTGTACCAGAGTCTAACCTGCACGGCACACATACACTACCAGTCAAAAGTTTAGATTTTACTCCTTTCCACAGTTTATCTCCACACACAAGACGTCAAATATATGAAGCAAGATTGAATAAATCAGTCACACAGTTGTTATCAGTAAATGCTCTATTTGATTTGAACAGGTTTACCTCATATCTGCCCACATAGTTAGGTCGTGTTTATGCTATTTAAAATCCAAATCTTACACAGTTCCTTTAATAAAATACAAATTTCTCAGAGATCTTGTACATGTTAGAATAGCTTCAGGTGACAGTCTGTAAACATGAAGAGGCGCTCACCGTCAGAAGTGAAGATGTTGTTTGGAGACAGATGTTCAGACTGCAGCAGATTCCACACAGACAGGAGCCACTCGAGGAAGTCCAGGTCCTCAATGTGCAGGAGAGTACAGTCTGTGAAGCTGTCACTGACACCTTTATAAGGCCCAACAAGTGACTGTGGATAGAGGAGGAGACTTGGAGGAAAGATTTCTATTTACCAAGTGTTACTTATGTACATAGGCTCATAATACTAGAGAGTTTAAACAGTAGTAACGTCCGGTTTTCCCCAGATATGTCAGTTTTTCACATCCCTGTCCTGGCAGTCTGTTTTGGGTTTTTTTTAATAAAATGATGGAAATGTCTGAGTTTTCATTACCTTTCATTGGTCCATTAAACTGACCGGCAGTAGGGCACTGTGCACACTTGTGGTGGGGCATGTGATGTAATCCCTGGGCGCCTTCAGTGTGGAGGCTCTTTGTTCACTCAGAAGGAGTGAGCAGTTAGCCTGCAACATGCCAAAGCAGAAATACACATTTAACGATAACTTGCAAAAGAAATTTCCCCCTGTATGTCCTGGTCGGGACATGTGGGGGGTCATGTGCACAGTGTGTAAAGCGGGCACATATGTTTGGGTGTCCAGTGGGGTGCAAGGGACCTCAAAGCTCAACGGGACACGGAAAAACATAAAAAAGCTTTGCAAGGTGAGAGTAGCTCAGTGTCGATGACTAAGTTCTTAGTGAGACCCAGAAAATCCGAGGATGCTGTGAATGCAGCGGAGGGTGCATTGTCATTTCACACTGTCAAACACCACCACAGTTACAGGTCCATGGATTGCAGTAGTGCACTGCTAAAAAGAACAGCCCCTGATTCTGACACCATCAAAAAGTATAGTTGTGCCCACACTAAGACCGACGCTATTGTGAATGGTGTTTTGGCACCCCTCTCTGTTGAAGTCGCACATGAAGCACTGAAGGAAATCCAGTACTGTGGTATTAGTACAGAGGGGAGTAACCACAGAACAGTGAAAATATCCACGATCATAATCCAGTACTTTAATTGGAAAAAGGGTGCTGTGCAAACAAAATTAATTGAGGTGAAAGGCACACCTAATGAAACAGCAAACACCATTGCAAATTGTCTCACTGACACACTGACAAAAAACAGTTTGTCCTAAAAATGCATTGCATTTACTGGAGCCAACTGTAACACAAATTTTGGTGGAATGCGACGTGATGAAGGGGGAAACAATGTGTTTGCAAATATGAAGAACAAAACTGAAATTGGCATGGGTTGCCCAGCTAACAATTGAACAACTGTGTTCATCATGGGGCCGATGCAATAGGGAATGGGTACAGAAGTGCATTCTGGGGCAGAAACAATGTGTGCCGCCATGACAGGATGCACAAAGAAAGCTTGTGGGGAGAACTGAGAAAACATGTGAGTAACACACTGGTGGAAAAGAACGCCAAGCCCTGTACTGGAGCGAACTCCTGCCGGACGCTACCTGAAAAAAAAAAACAGTTTGATTGTGTTTCTACACAGGAAAACAATAAAACAATATTCTGTTGACTATTTTCTTGCCCTTCCCTTTGATGCTGACTGTGAGAATAAATGTATATATATGCTATTAATGTTATCAAAGCTGAACAAATGTTATGCTCAACAGTGTTGTTGTTAGGAGTTTCTGCTGTAAAAGAGGAACTGCCTAAATGTTGAAGTGAGATTCAGTGTGGGTGGAGGGGACTGTGGTGTCTTGTGGTTGAACACGTGGCGTCTTGTGGAGCAGCGTGCAGCCGGAAGTAACGCTGTACAAATGTTAAGCATAGTATACACTTATGACCCATATGATTGTACATATCATGTAACTGTGTAACTATGGGTGTGACGAATGAATAAAAAGCTGACACCAAGAGAGAGACAGAGAGAGGGGCTACAAGCAGGAACACGATTAGATCGGTGGAGTCCTCCTTCCTTTCCCCCTTGCAAGTGACAATATTAATTCAACTGTTTGTGTCTTGTGTATTTTGTTGACTGATTTTGATTAAATACTGAATGTTAACTCACAACATACACAGGTCAGACAATTATTTACTAGAACTGGTAGACTATTATTTGGACTAATAGAGCCGGTGAGTTGGACTCACCGAGGGGGTAATAAGTTGACCCATTGAATAGACCATAGGTAGGACCTATGTAGATGTCTAACTAATAAACAAACTTATAGAACTCACGTACAAAAGTGCACATAGTGAGTGGGACTCACAAGGGAAGGTAATGTCTGGACTGTGTGAAAGAGTGAATGCATGTGTGATTGGGGAAGACCTTGTCAAAGCAGCAGAGGAGGCTGAAACCTGAAGGTGTTAACGTAAACCTCCTGTCTGTTGACGTAGACTTAGATACTTCTCATTAAGGCCTAAGTGGGAAAGAACCAGAGTCTAAAACCTTCTACATTTCCGGGAAGTAACCCCAAGTACGTGACCAGACTGATCCTACTGGGTCAGCCTAGAACCTTGCCTCGTAGGAAATGTACTAGGGTTCGTGAGAGTCATTCTCTGAACATTCTGACCGCAATAACATAATAACATGGGAAACTGTTGTTGTAAGCAGGATAAAATCCAATACGACCCAAGATTCGAAGGAGATGCAAATGGGTCCAATCGGTGGATCTGAATTTGACCAAATATTTTAAAAAGTGGGAAAAGGCTGCGCACGCCATGGAGAGGCAGTTGGAGCTTTCAGTGGCTTGTGAAAGTGGTTCGTGTAAGTACCAGAGTTGTTTCTTTTTCAATGTCTCTCTTAGAACTTGTGCGGGCGATTTTCCAATAAAAAATGTTCACACTGTATATTCACCTTCATTATTGTTTTCACTATTGGCATGCCATACATCGTTTGAAAGCTTAATTTATCAATAAAACAACCATATCATTCATTTTATGCCGTACAACGAGCCCAAAACACGATAACTTAAAAATTCACATCATAATCAAAGAATGAGATACGCGTTTCTTACATTTGAGCCGGTTCTGTCGGTCCAAAACGCGTTCAATCTATGAAAAGTTGTACTCAATAAGTCCGTAATAATTCACAGAAAAAAAATATCAAGTTGTTTTTTCCATAAAATAATTCCTTGTTGCCTTTCCGAGCCTTCTTCCTCTCTGATTTCCGTTTCTCTTGGCGCTCTTTTCCTCACACTCTTAGCTTCAAAATGAGACCCTCCCCGCTGTTGTCGGTGCCGTGGTTTAGCTGGGACAAGTCACTGAAGAAACTAACATACCCACGTACTTCCTGGCTTTAATGCGCACGCGTCATCAGTTTGTTTGAAATCTCTTCAGTCATTGGATCTTCCAGAAAGTGATTGACATATTGTTTTAGCCTATCACCAGAGTTTTCAAACGGTGGGTGGGACATCCAGATGGTCTTTGAAACGGACGCGGTGTTTACAGGCACCACAGAGAGGGACACAAGAAGCGGGAGGGGCCACAGAGGGCAGATCTGCCACTTGGAAGACAATTTTGGCTACTTTTAGTTTTTTTTCTTGAGAAAACATGCCTAAAGCTCAGAAGAATAATATAAGTAATAATAATAATAATAATAATAATAATAATAATAATAATTAATTATTATTATTATTATTATTATATTATTATTATTATTATTTTGGCACAAATTTGGCAATCTTGTGCCGAATTGTCATTTTGTATACACAAAGGCTCACAGCATCAAAACCCTTTGTCCTAGAGATCTGAAATTCTACACAGTTGTTGCCAACAACTTGAACAATGAGTGTAGTGAGTCACAAATGCCTAGCATGAAGTATGACCAAGCTAAGGCCTTTATTTTATTTTATTTTTTTTCAAAGCAAAAAATACAATTTTTAATTGACTGTACTGTAGGTTAGGCAGCACTCACAGTCTTCATGTACATATCTACAGAAACTAGAAGGCCTAAGCTTTAAAATGGTGCCTCACACAAGCATGTGGGTTCTAAGGTTTTCTTTTAATAAGCTATGGCATTTGGGTATGTGGTGCTATTGTGCACACGCCAAAATCAGGTGGATGGGAACAGGTTAATGCGATGTTTCTGGTTTCTGTGTTTAAAGGCGTGTGTCATCTGGAGCAGGCGGTGGTGACGGTGGCCGCTCCTAACGCACCCCCGGCCCCATGTAGGGTACTCTCCTAAAATCCAGGTAGAGGCTCTGGGTGGTGTATATTTGGGGGTGGTGGCGTTTGATGGCATGTGTGGTAAAAAGTGTGGTGTATTTCTATGTGGCAGATTACACTGCTGCTGTTTGTTTCTAATTTCAAATTCTCTCAAATTTTCTCATAAATCTTAAATTCTCTCGATTCTCTTAAGTCCTTAGCATAAATTACTTTATCTGTAGCGCTAGCGTATAAGTTGCTATAGTGTATCCATTTACTGGCTGGGGTAGGATGTGCAATAGAGGATAGTGCAATGTAGCAGCACCTTGCACTTTAATTCTAAATTCTCAGAGCACTTAAGACCACACATCTAGCACTTTAAATCTAAAAGAAATATACTACAGCAGTTTTTATGTGTACTTTTAATATTAACTAAATAAAGAATTGTTCTTTTTCCACTATTTACTTTGTCTGATGTTTTAGCCAGACCTACCTGTGTTATAATTAAATAAATATACAAAAGTGGGGACCCCCTTTATAAATCTCCTTATAAATCTCTCTATTAGAAATCTCTTAACCAACAACAATGACGTACAACAAAATTGACAATGGATACATGTGATGGCTGGGAGGACAGGGGCTCAGGTGATCAGCCTGGAGTTCTTGCATTTTCATTATCGTCTTTGATCATAAACTGCGCTTGAAGTCCTGGAGAAACTACTGTCCAAATATTTTGGCCTTGCTAAAATGTTTTGTAATTAAGAATAAATTTGCTTTACAGTTGTTTTCCACAGTTTGATCTGAACATGACTGGGCCCACAATTAGGTCATGTTTATGGGATTTAAAGCCTTTAGATACAGTTCAGAGATCTTGTACATTTGTTAAAATAGCTTCAGGTGACAGTCTAAACATGAAGAGGCGCTCACCGTCAGACGTGAAGATGTTGTTTGGAGACAGATGTTCAGACTGCAGCAGATTCCACACAGACAGGAGCCACTCGAGGAAGTCCAGGTCCTCAATGTGCTGTGGTCCAACTCCAACCAGATGAGACGAGGACAGTCACAGGACACACTAGTGTTAGAGAATTTTGTGTTATAAGTCATTTAAAGTATTAATCAGGTACAATATAAGATTATCAACATTGCTTTGTGTTGTGTTCAAGCTGTATCAGGTGAGATGGATGATGCATTGGCTGACTCATTAAAGATAATGTACCGGGAGAAACAAATAGTAATGGTAAACATCATGAGGTTAACACAGAACTCTGGGGAATTGCTTGAGGCTATCTACCACCTGGAATGTGAAACCTGTGTATAATGGGGGGCTGTGTCAGTGGAAGCTTGTCAGTCATGAGACAACATGTGAACAATAGGTACTGTATTCAAAGTAACCTCCTGTATGATATTGTGTGTTCTACAATAAAAGAGACGTTTGGAGAGAAGAGACTGCTTCAGTTTAGGATGAGACAGGACATCAGTACCTCTCTCCTACCTCCTTGCGCAAGTAAAACCAACCACTGTGTCCCTGACGTGTTCTTTAATATTTGAGGTCGTGGTAAATTCCCTGACACAAAATTAATTCAACTGTTTGTGTCTTGTGTATTTTGTTGACTGATTTTGATTAAATACTGAATGTTACTCTGACACTGACCTTGAGAACATCATGTTTAAAATCTACCAGTACTTCCACATTCACACAGTGCACACCGAGTCCCTTAAAGAGTACTGTGATTATGTTGACATCAAGTACAGGAGGATGCTTTCTCACAGCAAGACAAGGTGACTGTCATTGTTTCCAGGCATTGAGAGGATGCTTTAGATGTTTCCTGCTTTAGAGGCATTCTTCATGTCTCACCAAAAGCCACCCATGGCAATCGAGAAGTTTTTTGACAATAATCTTAGTGAGATCTACTTGTGGCACATGCACTCACTCATGTCTGTGCTCCACAATCACATTCCACAAATGGAAAAGCAGAATAACTCCATCATGGAGGTGAAGAAAACTTTGAACAGCTTCCACAACATTCTTCTTGAGCGTAAAAGCAACAATTTCATGTCCCTTAAACTTAAGGGACTACTGGCAGAAAATCTCAGAAATGGACTTGGTGAGGGCAGTGACAAGTTCACTGCTCATGTGCTTGACATGTTCAGTGCTCAGTGTCTGGAGTATCTGGAGAGGCAGATGACTCCCATGGAAGAGTTCTCAACATTTATGTGTGAACCGCCAAACTGGAAAGATGTGGAGGCCTGCATCAAGTACCGTAGAGAGAAGGCAGTGCCACTTGATGATGTCAAGTGTTTTGGTCGCCAATCTTAAGAAATTCCTTAGAAAACTTTCTGTTCAGTCATTGAAAGGCATTCCCTTTGTGCAGTACAACTTCAGAGATATGTCTTGCAAAGACTTCCATGCTTATTTGTTAAGCAACAAAAAACTGCTGGGAATGATGAGCTCTACAATAAAATATCAATGGGCAAACAAGGAGGACGAAGGAGAAAAACAGGATGAAGAGGGAGACAAGGATTAATCAAACTAAAGATAGGCTATAGATATTTTTGTTAGTTTGCAGAGTTATTGTTGTTAAAGTTGTATTGTTAATATTGGAGAGGCATTTTTCATGATTTATCTATTTTTTCTACAGATGAGACATTATTTCTTTCAGTATTCCATTCATTACAGAAATTATGAGGCATTCTTTGAAGAAACTAACTTTGAGTGTCATTTATATTGTTATTGAGAGTTAAGAGTTATTATTATTATCATTTATTTATTTTTCTAATTCAGATGAGACATTATTTCTTTCATTCCTTACAGAAAGTGTAAAGCGTCTTTGAGTAAACAAACTTTGACTATCATTTAGGTCTGTTTTAAAACTACCCCATCATGACATCACAAGGTGAAACTGAGAATTCTGAGCTTTGTTTCATATGAAACAAGGTTACATCATAACATCTCTAAAACAGTCCTGTATTTTTAGTGGCTACTTTTCAGTTTTTCCAAAAACTTCCACTTAACTGAAGTAAAACTATGATAATAATTGATAATATAAATATTGACCTACACGTACGTACTATGCCAGCAAACTAAGTCAGAATTAGAAAAGCATGAAAACCTGTTTTATGCACTTTAACTGGAAATGTGGTCTTAATGGGAAGTGATGCCCAACATGCCACAAATCATAATTTAACTTGAACTTGTCAGAAGATTAAGTTGAGTCATGTTTACAAGAGCCGTACAACAGCAGATTTAGTTATGTGATATTAAAGGCTCTGTACCAGCTCCAAAAACCCTTTCAGCTGAAATATCCCTACAGAAGTGGCTTTTATCTTTCAGTCACTTTTTATTTTTGAATTGATAGACCCAGGAATGATAAAAAGTTAATGTTTAAATACTCTAAAACCACTTTTGGCTTCACATTGGCATTAATCAAATGTGCTCGTAAGGCAAGCACAATGTGACTCACATACACACACTCCCCTGCTACAGTCTACACAAACACAGCACTCTACCGTCTTCTTTATGAACACTCAAACCATAGAAATGTCTTTTTTTGAATACACATTGGTGAATATAACAGACAGATTAACCAACAGTCACAGAATAACTGTCCCAGAACCTCCTTTGTCAGAGCCAACTCAAGACTAAGGGTCAGAGGGAGGCTCATCCAGGGCAGGGGTCATCCAGCCAGGTGAGGGAAGGGAAGGGTCCTAGATCTAGAGTCCAGTCAGCAGCTGGCGTACAGCGGGAGGGCATCTGAAACAGTGTGAGTGGAGACAGGGAACAGCTTATGAATATCATGAACAGACAATAGTGCTCAGGTTCCCATACCTCCCCAGCAGAGTTACTCCTAATAATGCTGTGTTCACATACAAAGCATCAAATCAGGTCAAACGTACCACGATGGACACTTGTCATTCATGCATCAAGGACGTCTTTAAAGCGTGAATGACAGCGTGTGATTAAGCTGTTCAAGCTGCAACACGTGGGGGAAAAGTCCAGGGCCGTGTTTGGTTGAGTCCACCTCTGCTTTGGTTCACACTTCGGTCGCTACAACATTCAGGCTGCTGAAGCTGACTGCATTTCATTTTTACAAAACAGAGACATCCTGTAGCAACCAATAATCAC